CCAGTCAAATTCACTGCCTGTGCCCAAACTTGCACCAAGCGCTGCTCATTTATCACCCTGTGATTACTGATCTACATCAGTCACCACAAATTTCATCCTCATTTTCAAATACCTTCATGGTCTTGCACTTTCCCCCTCCACATGATCTTGTCTGACCCCACAAGCCACCAAGATCTCTGCACTCCTCAACTCTGAGCATCCCAAATTTTAACCACTCCACCATTGGTGACCATTCCTGGTGGACTCAAAGCTCTAGCATTTGTCTCTAAATCTTTCCATCCCTCTGCCTGCCTTTTCCTCCTTGAAGATTTTGCTTAAAACCTACATCTTTGACTAAGTTTTGATCACCTACCCTTTAGTGGTAGTGTCAAATTTTGTTTTATAATCCCTCCTGAGAATGGAATGTTTTATCATCTTAAAGGTGCTAAATAAATGCATATTGTTGCTGTTTTTGGAATCTTACTATAAAAGTTGCCATGTTTCCTGTACAACAGTGACTACAAAAAAAAATTTAATTAGCTGAAAAAACAAGTAGCGATGTCCCAAGTTTGTAAAAGGTTATGGAGAAACATACATTCCTTATTTCAGTCTTACTAAATGATTAATTACAGAAGTTGGTTGTCAGTTTTTAATTATCATTACCTCTTATACTAAAGTTTCTTGTATGTTCTTTTCTTCCCTTGGTTTAAGGAAATGAAATTTATCCTGTGCTGCTCTGTGTTACATCTCTCCTCTAGGTTTTATTGGTGCAGAGATCACACTGATTTTTATTGTGGAATTTTGAGTTAACTAGCTCAGTTAATATGTGTAACTGGCATGAGATTATCCTTGTGCCCCACTACATGTAATAATTTCCAGCCAGTTTTCTGAACTTTAAGTGGCTCTACTTTGGTTTAGTGTGTGGAACAAGCCCTATACAGCCTGTGAAAACATGTTTGATTTATTTTTTAATGTGGTTGCAAAATGTTCATGCTCTCTAGAAAAGTCCCTCATTCATTCCATTCATGCCCAAAGACTGATACTTAAAACCACACAATCTCCTCAATCCTCCCCCTCGTCTTCCTCCTTAACCTTGTCCTGGTTCATCTCTGGCATGATGATTGGTGCTGCTCCCTTCCCTACTTCAAAAGCAGCCGTTTGAAAAACTCTACTCCCCAAAGGCCTTTCATTTGAGAGTAAATGTTCTCTCTTTCAACTCTTTGTTTTTCCAAGAAACTGGCCTCTCTGTATGCTTCAATGTTTGGTGATATTGTGTGCTGTTCTTACCTCAGCAGTAGGAAGCTGTCTTCCCTGGAATTCCTGTCCTTTGCCAAGATTTAAACCAAAACTTTCATATTGAATTTTCTTAAATTCTGCAATCATTTTCTCTTTATTGTCACTAGTGTGTCACTTGGTTATAATCAGTGGCTAGTGTGGAATATACTTCAAATGAACAGTGTGTCTACTGCATATGTGGATGATACGCTGGTCAATAAGTATAATGGCTATGAATTAGCTTTAGTCCAGTACATGAAAGCATAGCTAGCTTGATGCACTGTACGTGTGGGTCATCTTTTCCTTGCTTCTTAATCTCTGGTTAAATCAAAAAGAAAGAATTGAATTTCTCAGCACAACCTCAGGATATCCCATAACAGTAATACAGTCACTGCAGTAATGCAGCAAACTCAGCATGAGTTTGCACACAGCAAGGTCCTATAAACAACAATGGGTTAACAACCAGACAATGTTTTTATTTAGTGAAGTTTCTTATAGTGTAAATATAGACTAGGACACTGAAAAAACTTCCTTTGCTGTTCTGAACAATCATAGATATGGGATCTTTTACATCTTTTACAGAGTAATAAATAGTATCTTGGTTTAATATATCACTTGAGAGTCAGCACTTCTGCCAGAGCAGCACTCACTCAGCAAACGATGTCTCTGTTCGTTTTCATCTCTATTTCTCATCTTTGTTCAGGCAACACAGCTGACTGGTGACTGTGCCGGTGATTCAGAGTGAAGGGCTTTCATTCACAATGAAAGATTCTATACTTCTAGTAGTCAAGGTACAACATCTGAATAGGCAGCTGATGTGCAATGTGCTAAGAGTCACGTTGCAGCTGACACAATGTATTAAACGGAACAAGGTTCAATCCAAACCCTAGCTGCCTCCCACTGTGATCAATCACTGTCAGCTTTGCCTTTGGTTCCCAGGTTGTTTTAACTAACTGAACACAGGGACCTATAGTGAACACTAGTTTTACAAGTAATTCAGGCAAACTCTGTCAACTTCATCATGTTTGATACAGTGGAAAATGTACAGGCCATAAACCAAGTATTTCGTTATCACCTGCCTCAATTACAGACAACAGGATGTGTTCCAGCTATTTTAATAAGATCCCTTTTATGTAGCCATCAGATTTCTGGTTTTCTGTGAATGCTAAAGTGGAATAGTTGAAAATTCATCAGGTTTCACCAGGCAAACTGCTCATTATGAGACAACAAGCACCAAGTCCTGGTCACTTATGTGTTCATTTACTTACATTATATCCCACCCTGGCAACGTTACTTTTGAACAAGCACACACATGGAGGAAATTTTAAAATTTCCGTGTTTTCAAATCCCTCCCTGACCTTGGCCCTTCTCTATAATCTCTTCCAGTCCTACAGCTCTCCAAGATGTTGGCACTCTTCCAGTCTGGCCTCTTATGCATCATCTAAGTATCATTCCTCCATTCATGCCTTCAGCTGCCTAGACCCTAAACTCTAGAATTCCTTTCCAGTCCCCTCAGCTTCTCTCTCCTCATTAGGTGATAGATGTCATGACAGGATTTGAGAGATAGTAGGAACTGCAGATGCTGGAGAATCTGAGATAACAAGGTATAGAGCTGGATGAACACAGCAGGCCAAGCAGCATCAGAGGAGCATGAAGGCTGATGTTTCGGGCCTAGACCCTTCTTCAGAAATG